CATGCCTAACAACACTAAAAATGTCACTTCTTTTCTTAAATTTTTCGAACCAGCCCTTGCTGGCCCTAAACTCTTCAAACTCTGAGCCTGAACAACCAGGTTGATCTGCCTTTAAATGTTCGTAAATCTCCCTGGCTCTTTCACAAATAAATTCGGTCGAAACTGAATCACCTTTCATTTGTTTTTCCCTAATCCAAATGAGAAGTAACCTCTCTGTTTCTGCTATTAGGGATCTACCTTTAAACACTCTGGTAGATTTGTCTCTCACTCTCACTTCCTTAAATTTGTCTTTCTGTGAAAGAATTGTCGATACAGTTGATGTCGACATGCCATATTCTTTGCTAAGCACATTTGTTCTAATGCCTTCTTCATGTTTCTTAATAATTTCCTGTTTCACCTGGGTTGAAATCGCTTTTCTGGATTTCTTGGGGCCTATGCTGGATTCAAAAACAATTTCAACACTAAAATTTTAAGTTTAATTGCTGTAAATAAAGAATATTTTCTTTAAATCAACACTGCACTGCGCTATATATCATCAATATGAAAAATAAATTTCAAAATGACCAATAATTTCACTGTAAAAATGGAAAAAATAGTTTATATTGAAGAGAGTCTGAAGCAAGATGTTACCTCCACTGAAAAGACACAGAGACTGACGCCTGTTTGGTGTGTTGAGAGGCTGTTTGGCGCGCTAAAAACTAATTTCCTTGTACAGTACTTCAATTATGTTAAATAATTGTTAAAATGACTAAAAATTTTAATACTATAAGACTTTTAAAATTATTGAATAGTACAAACTTCTTGATATTTACTAAAATAGTAAGGAATTTAAGCCCTAGAACTGATTACTGTATTGGCGGACTAATATGACAGCTAGTGAGCAAGCGAAAACATGTTGAGGGGCGCTCATAAGGAATCGTTAATCGAGGGATTGCTCGTTAACCGAAGTGAAGAATCTTATGGAAGGTAATTCGTTAACCGAGGGATCACTGTAATAGTCTTGCGCAAGTCTACATTCCTTTGTCTGCACCCGCATCCTACCAGCTACTGTTGAATGTCAAATTACCTGCCATCGCCAGTTCCTTAACAATCCTGACCAGAGAAACACAACACTCGCCACCTTCAGTAAAAACTGGTGATCATGGAATAGCTCGCCACCTAAGCTCCACCATTAATTCCTGACTTCCATCCACAAAACCAAACCTTGAATATCAATTTATATTGTAGGATATCCTAACCTTATACTTTCAAGTCTTTATTTAATGCATATAACAATGTAAATATTTTTTGTCTTGATATCGCCCAATTCAGGACAATCCCTTCAACATTACATTACATAGCTTTATGAAATGTGGAGTGAGAAAGCAGAAAGGTGGGGGTGATTAGGAGTGGAAGGGAGTGGTAATACACACCGGGTGTTGCCAAGGTCTCCTCAGCAGCTGATCTTCAATCTGCCACCACACATTGTGCTTCAGTTAACCACACACAACTTTGTCATACAATAAGACCTACACTTAATATAACAACTTCGTGGTTGTCATGGCTGAAGCTTTTATCTTGTTTGCATTCTTAATAATGGTTCTAACAGTCAATGAAGCCAAGTTGAAAGCAGCACTGACATCTACCTGATGCTCACCAGCTTCCAACTGCCTCAACACTTGTAACTTTACATCCGAGAAGATACGTTTCCATGGCACTTTAGACACACTAGCAACATTAAAATTTGTAGACCATTTTCCAGACATGATGAGTGAAAACTAGTCACTAATATAAAAAAAATTGGGAAATCAACAAGAATGTGTCCACAGTGTAAGGCAGCAAATTTGTACTGCATAGTACAGCGGTTCAATTTATGAGATTTCGGTTCACGAATTAGCTCATAAAGATTTTCATTTCTATTAACGAGTATAACTTCTATTAACGACAGCCTTACGAGAAACACGCATTGTTGCACGCATCAGCTGATCGGCTAGTCCGCCAATACAGTTATCGGTTCTATGTTTACATTTGTTTCCAGTGGAGTAAATATCGAGAAAGTTGGTATCTTGAATATTTTTGCATTTTTTATATTAAAATTATTGGTCATTCTGAAATTTAGTTAACATATTGATAATACTGTATAGACAGTACAGGGAACAGTTTTTGTGCGCCCATCAGCCGATTGAATCACCCAACAACACTTCTCAGTTTAACTTTGTTTTACAGTGGAGTGAACATCGAGTTTATTGGTCTCTTGAATATTTTTGTATTTTTACATTAAAATTAGTGGTCACTGAAATTTAGTTAACATTGATAATATACAGTGCAGAAATTATTGAGAAATTCGAAGAAGGCATTAGAACCAATGCACTCTGTAAAGAATATGGCATGTCATCATCGACTGCCTATACAATCAGCTGTTTGCTATGTAAACAAAGCCGCCGGGAATACGACATACACACCTCAAAGTAAGTTAAAATACAGTATTCTATTGTTTTTTTATTTATTATTATACATTATACTGTACGGTACAGTACTGTATTTAGTTTATATTTAATGTTTTGTTAATTCTATTACCGGTATACAGTACTTTGTATGTACTTTTTCTGTGAGTTGGAACCAATTACCCAATATCCCATTGAAATAATAGATTCAGTTAACGATATTTTCAGTTAACGACTGACCCTGTGGAACCAATTGTGCTTGTTAATCTAGGGACCACTGTACATTATTCCCTTAAAGCTCGCAGTTTTAAACCTTGTGCCCATCGGAAACTCACGAATTGCCATTAAAAAAAATAAATAAAAAAATCTGAGTTCCAAAGCACACAACTTACCTCATTCAGCATCTTGACCAAGGAATAATTGTCGTTTTCAAGTCATATTACCTCGGTCGCAGTTTTTTCGAAGATTCATGAGGCACTGGAAGAAGGTGACCAAGTGCGGGTGAAAGAGATGTGGAAAAATTACACCATTGCTGACTGCATAGCAAATGTTAATATGAGCCATAATGAAATCACTAGCAAGTGTTTGAACTCCTGTTGGAAGGCCCTATGACCTGAAGCAGTGAATGATTTCACTGCTTCCCCTCAGTGGAGTCCCAGATCACATGCAGGGTGCTAGTGGGAAGACATGCAACCAGAAGAGCTGTTTGGAAACACTGGAGAAGAGTTAACAAATGAAGAACCAGCTTCTTTACTAAAAGAAGTTGAGCCAGATGATCTGGAACAAGATCTTGGTCCCATTGATTTAGAAGAAAACATCTGGACGTTAGATAAATTAATGATTTTTTTTTTACATTCAAGCAAAAAAAAAAGAAGCACTTCGGGAATTAGACTCCACACTAGACCGAACACTGAAGATTAACGTACGTCGACCAAGTACTAGCACCACTTGATGAATCTACAAAGATCTAAAGTGCCAGAGATCTCGGCACTCCATTATTCTTTTCTTCTCTGAGAGTTCCCAAAACACCAGCTTCAACTCAATCTTCTGCCACTCCAGCCACCCCTGTATCTTCTGCCACTCCAGCCACCCCTGTATCTTCTGCCACTCCAGCCACCCCTGTATCTTCTGCCACTCCAGCCACCCCTGTATCTTCTGTCACTCAGGCTATCCCAGACTGCCAAAATGCTCTAGTGCGCAGGCCCGACGAAGCTACGCCAAGAAAAAAATCACGGAGGAGGCAATCTGGGATGGTACATATCCGATCTGAGCAGCCTCATTGAAAAACTACAGAAGCAATTCAAAGCCATGTAATTTGCATCCGCAGCATAGCTAGCATTCTATGCAAGTGTAAAATGGCCTTTAATCAGTCGTCGACTGATGCACTGTTGACAAACTTCTCACTGCTTCCACACTGGCGATCACCTCCCACACAGAACACACACCCATGCTCGTCATATTTCTTATTTTACAGTTTTATATTATACAGTGCAGTATTTTCTTTATTTTTTAATCATATTAGAGTATTGAAATGATTTTTCCACAACTTTTATAGATTCATTATATGTAACAATAACACCATGCATTACCATCTCCCTCCCTCCCTAAGGCGGGGCAGGAAGCGGTTAAGACTGTAGAGACCTCTCGTGGCCAGTAGTGGAAGTTAGATGCATGTACACAACCTCCCTTGCTTCCCATGCAACCCATAGTGCAATCCACAGAGGGGCAAGGGCCGTGTTGTTTAAACCCCCATAGTTTAATGCAGTGATTCTTAAACTAGGGTCCACGAAAAGCTTTTGAGAAATAGTGTGTTCAATGTTTGTGAGAGATTTGGCGATTCCAATTCGCAGGATATTTTGGATTTTGGTTGAAATGAACAAATGCTTTGGACTGTGATTTATCCTTTGATTACTGACAATATTTGTATGTGTCATGGCATATAAGGGGTCCTTGGTTGAAAAAAGGGATATGTGTACAATGAAAGACAAAAGTCGTGTCGCGAAATTTGGTGAAAACATATGTCGAAGGGCTAAACTTTAGGTGCGCTCTGCCTTGTGGTAGGGGGCTCTCATAATGTTTCACGAGTTATATTTAATCTTCAGACAAAACCGCGATACTACTTTTGTCTTTGATTGCACATAATGTTCAACATATGCGTATATCGGTAGCTATTTATATGTACAGTACTGAATTTTGCACACTCCAGGAACCGGCATGAAAAACTTGAGGATTTTGCTTTCTCGTGGGGTCCATTTTACCTAAGTCCCACGAGCTTTAAGGACGTACTGTAAACAGAGCACTTGGTGTTAATCAGTCGAGTGCGTAAAAACAAAAAGAGCTGCTCTTTGCATGTTGGGAGTGTTCAAACTTGTGATTTTTCACTACTTTTATGTCTGTTTCCCCCCCCCCAAGAGCTCCAAGAAACAGTGCTGTACAAGTTAGCGCTAACTGGCGTATTACTGTAGTCTCATTTGATTTAGTTTAATCAGAGAATACACATTTTATTATTTGATGATTTTACTAATTCTGGTACATATTTAAATATGATTCTTACTGTATGTATTCCATTAATGACAGGTTTGTGCGTGTGGAATACAAGCCTTGTCATTCCCTGGACAATCTAGTTAAAACTTTCACAGAAGAAACCAAAAAGGCTGAAGGAAACCAGTTTGTGGAGGGACTCATGTACTCCCTTCACTCTGGGGTTGTCATGACTGCCAACATGTGCACATCTGCTGAGCCTGGCAAGGTGAGTCTTCACAAGCGAAAAAATTTGAAAAATAATTTCCTATTACTTTTATCCTCTTCGCCACTGATTGGCTCGTTAGCCGCTTGGGCAGTCGGTCACATCTCTATTACGTACTGTTGGCAAGTACTGGGCTTGCACTGGCTCCTGAATGTATCTGAACCTGCTCCAGTGTTGGTCAAGCCTGGTTTTGAAAGAGCTCACTCTGAAAAAGTTACCCTTCACAATTTTCTGGACTGCAACCTTGAGCTGTGACCCCTTGTGGGGCGGACGTCCGCCAACTCCAGTTATGGACACTTGACTGAGTAGTGCCCTTCGAGTTGTTTGTACACCTCAATTAGGTCACCCCTTGCCCATCTGTAGTACTGTATAAGCTTCTTAACACTACAGTATATTATGAAGCTTATTTTTATTATCGATCAGTTGTTACAAAAACTACAACCACAAATCAAATTAAGTGAGCCAAATGGTGAATTATACATACCTACATACATCTCAGTGTCTCAATGCATTTTTAAGATTAAGAAACGAACTGAAAAAAGAGCGTCGCATTCTGAGGTTGAACAAAAAGAGCGTTAACTGTACTACAGTACAGTAGGCTCTCATATTTGGACACCTATTTAGACTGAAAAAGCTAAATTTTGCCTTATTTACCCTACTTTTTGGCGAATTACTACCTGTAATAAAGCAACATCCTAATAAACCAATGAAAATAAAACAAAGTTAATAAAAAATAAAAACAACACAAAAAGTTCTCCCTTTTTGCCTTTGGCGGTTTTGGACGCTTAGGAGGGTTCCCATTCACACCAGGTTGACCCCCACCACCTACTGGTTCAACACTTGCCATATCACGGGCGCGAAATAAGCGTCTGAACACGAGATCACCAAGAGATAAAGTTCTGGCTGTCTCAGTGCATGGGCGGGAAGGAACTAATGGTGCTGCTAGCGCCACAAACAACTAAGAACTAACTGGCAGGCCGCTCAAACCCGTCGAAATTCGAGTTTCTGCCGTCAAAATTTGAAATTGTGTAGTTTTTGTGTCCAAATAAAAAACGTTGAATTAAAAACTCGCAAAATTTGAGAACCTACTGTATATGTACAGTAATGTAAAAAATTCCAGATAACTTATTTTTTACTACCTCCCCATAAAATGTACTATACCTGTAATAGCAAGAAATCATGCACTTCTCGGGGTTTTAACCATGCCTTTGAGACAATCGGTCACGTTGGCAGAAAGTTTATTATGTAATGTTTCTGCTAAGTGTTGCAGGGTATTACAATAGTGGAAATTATAGTTGAGCAGAAGTGAATTAACTTTGGTACAGGTAATAAAAATGTCTGAACTAACTTTCCCATGACATTTTATTTTCCATATTGGAAATCAAGAGGTAAATCCAATTATCTTTATGAATACTTGTGTTGTTAGGTTGTTTACCTTTGAAGAAAATGGATATATACCCTACAGTTATTAGTGATACAACAGTAGTGCAGTCAATCTTTGATTAATGTGAGAAAGGTGTTGTCAAGTGTGTCCCAGCCAGACTTCCTCCAGTACTAAAGCTAGACTCAGGGAGGACACATTCATTAGGAATGATTAGGCAATTACCGGTAACAAGATACTGTACTGGCTTCTTTCCCCTTGCAAAATGATTGACTAAATTAAAATAATATCCTAAGCCTCTCCTCCTTTTTTCCCCAAGTTGAATGAAATTGGGCGATGGTTCAAGCCTTGGTTCTTCAAGCATGTGGAGACTTTCTTAAAGAAGAATGAAACAGGAATTGAATACATCCCAATCCGAGATTACTACCACCGCCACACACGATCTATCTTTTGGGAAATACAGGTAAGTAATAATGATGGAAATATTTAAAAACTGGAGACATTAATGGTGTGATCTTGCATATACTGTACAGTGTACATCACTGCTTATTGGATGTCCATCCCCTTCCTCTACTTCCTTCCAGTACTAATAGCCATAGTGGTAGTATCATAACCAAAGAGGTTTATGTACTATAGCTACAAGTAATTACGTGAACATTTGTCCCCTCCAAGTGATGGCAAAATTGGCATGTGCAAACTATTGTTTCAATGAAAAATATGGAGGATACAATCTACCCCCCTTCCCCAGATTCCCACATACCTACATGAAAAAATTATGAGACATTGCAGTATTGTACTGATAAATTTATGTAAAATACACAATAATCAGTTATGGATTAATTGACGTGAAGTCAAGCAAATAAGCTAGTTGGTCTTATAAGAAGGGCATTCACATTCCTAGATCATCTATCCCTCATAATGCTCTTTAAAAGTGAGATGCTTCTGCATTTAGATTACTGTCACCCTGTTTGGTCCGATATGCTAGTGTGTGTCAGTCGATTGAAAATGTCCAAAAGAGGACCAACAGACTGGTGCCTGCACTATGGCCCCTCGGCTACCCAGAGAGATTAGAATGCCTACAGTTGCCTAGCTTGTATTATAGGTGGGCCTAGCTTGTATTATAGGTGGGCCTAGCTTGTATTATAGGTGGGCCTAGCTTGTATTATAGGTGGGCCTAGCTTGTATTATAGGTGGGCCTAGCTTGTATTATAGGTGGGCAAGAGAAGACTATAGGCACCTCGGACGTACTGGAAATATCCAGTATTGAAAAGCCCCTTATTCTTAGTGTTTACTGAAATGGAAAATTTTACAATAAATTTATAAAAGAAAGAAAGGACAAGAAATGAGTAAGAGGAACACAATGAAAATACAGAAGAAAGAATATTGATTGAAATTGGAGAGAGATAGGAGGTAATTAGAAGAATAATTACTGCTTTAGTGCTTGTGGTGCCTCTCATGACTGTCCTAGATTTGATCTCCGGTTGGATATGAGAAGGTGTTGTACAGTGTGACTATCATACATTGTAGGTTTCCTCTTGTACTAACTGGACAATGAGGCTATTAACAAAGAACAGATTGACCATCTGAACATCTAGTAAGCTGATAAGTGATAGAAATAGGAAATATGAAGATTTTTTTTTTTGAATGGCACCTTCTGAATCAAACTAAGCAAACATTTCATATTAGGTCAATTAGTGGATGGAGAAAGTAGGAGGAAAAATCAAAGTGGATAATGAAATATATAGGAACTATGTAACCGCTACCATAAGTACAAGTATTTAGAAAAGGCAGATCAATAGGCATTGTGGGAGGTGATAAAGACTTATGGAATAGGAGGGAAGCTGCTTAATGAATTGAAGGTTGTCTGCAAGATGAGTGTTAAGGATAAATGGAATGGCAATGGTGGAATGGGTCAAGAGACAGTTACCAAGATGCTCTGGACATATAAGAAGGATGTGTGAGGACAGAATAGTAAAGAGGATAGATAGAGCAGTGAGTGCATTAAGGAGAGGGAGACTGCTTACATCGTGGCAGGGAAAATGGAACAATAAAGGAAAGCAAGGGAGGTGATAAGGGGAATAGGAATGATAAAGGATGTTTGTAGTGATATCACAGCCTGGTGGCTATTCGTCATGGCCACACCCTCAAAGGGTGAGCTACCTGGAGGAGTAAGGTGTAGGTGAGTAGTATATTTAATATATAAAGAACATACAGACTTCAGAGAAGATGTGCAGATTCCCTATATTTTAAGAGATTTTTTTAATGGGGATTAGCCTACCCATGCACAGGTCACCAACCCACATCTGGGTCTGATGGGGCCATAAAAAAAATAAAAGCAAAAGAAAACTAAATTGATCCATAAATAAGTACAGAAATGGAAAAAAAAAGGTCAAGAGTGAGAAACAATATATGTTGTGTTGTCAAGTCAGAGAAACAATTGAGACCTCACAAGTGTGTGTAAATGAGGCAGAAAGTCAGTCAGATCAGCAACCTGGGACTTGGTCACAATTTTTGTGATGCCATATGGCAGCAGGGTCTATCATTAGACAATACATTATGCTTCCAATATCTTCCCAGGCAATAGTACCTCCCTGTTTAATAGCTGCCTACTACCTAAATCCTCTTGTATGTACAGTAGAATGTCGAATTAAAGAAATTCAATTTAATATTATTGATTTAAAGTGACACTCACAATTAAGGGCAATGTTTTAATTTAAAGTGAATTTTTCCTATTTTGCGCGAGTCAATCCGGCACATCATATTTTAAAATTTGCGCCTAATATTTCTCTGGGCACGCTACACTGTCCTAAGGACAAAGCTGTACTGTACTTCTGTGACATTTTATAAACAAAAAACAAAAACCTCAATCTAAAGGACATAAATAAACAAATAAATACTTCACTAGACCTTTGGCGCGCCAACTGTCAAACATGTCACTGTCACCCCTCCCTCCCTCCCTCCCTCTCCCCCCCCTCCCAGCCAGGATTTGGTGGTTATACAGTAGGCTTTAAGTTTTTATCTTATATAATATCACAGACTAAAGTTAGGAGAATATAATTTCCATTGCCAGAATCCTTGCAAAGCAGTGAATGATTTGAATATAAACGTCATATATTTTGCACGAGATAAAAATTTTAGCCATTTGTAATTAGAACTAAATTTTGTATGTCTAATGCAAACTATAGCTTATTTACATTCAAATTAATCACTATCTTATAAGAATTCCAGCAATGCAAATTATATTCTCCCCGGTCACTTCTGTGACATTTTATAAACCAAAAACAAAACCCAACCTAAAGGACATAAATAAATAAATAAATACTTCACGAGACCTTCAGCACAACTCTCAAACGTGTCACTGTCACGTGTGTCTGGGAGCTCCGTTTTTTTGATGAAAAACAGGGTCTTTCCAGGAGTACCCAGTCTGATTTCTAGGAAATCTGATTCGTGAGTGACTAATGAGTGTCGTGACCAGTACAATATTTATCTGTGATCCCCCTAAGTACAGTAGATATATTTGTCAATTTACTGGTGAGTCTGTGTCTACCAAGTGAGGTGTAGACCCACCAAACTCCCCTCAGTGCCACGGCATATAATCTGAGACCTGTCCACTCCCACCGTTCCCCCCTCCCCCACCGTTCCACCAGGCCACACAGCTGACCACACAACTTGACCATCTCCATACTGCCAGCTACTCAGCCCTCACTAGCTCCAATATATCTAAGTTGGCTGCTAGTATCAAACATTCAAATTTCACGGAACAACAGCTGACTGATGTGATAATGGAAGTCCAATGGACTCTCATACAGGACATCATACAGCAAATGAATAAGGAGACCATCAGGAAACTAGAAGAAGCTGACCGGCATCTCATTGACCAGTTAAGTGAGATTAAAAGAAGCTTGGAATTCTCGCAAGGAGAAATAAGTGACTTACAAGCAAAGTTGAACATTGAAACTAAAGAGAACCGAACACTCAAGACCCAAGTTCAACAGCTGAGCGAGGAGAATTCCAAGCTCAAAACGGAACTAACGACAACAGCAGACCAGGTGGATTATGTGGATGACATAGGGCGGCGAAACAACCTCAGGATTGCTGGAGTCACCGAAGATGCCCACAAGAACTGGGAGTCATCCCCGCGCAAAATTTCACGCCTGGTGAATGACCATTTTAAACTTCCTGAAGTAAAGTTTGACCGTGTTCAACGCGTCGGGAAACCCAACTTCTCCTGCCCCCGCAACATTATAACAATTCTCATCCCCCCTCTGACCATGACAAAGTGTTTTATCAACACAGTAAGCTGAAAGGCACCACTATCTTCGTCAACGAGGACCTCTGCCCAGGCAAACTTTGACAGTTTAAAGAGGCAGCTGAGAGAAGGGGTGTCGCGCTTGGGCGTGAACCTGACAGATGACACCGACCTGATAACGAGATCTGAGATAGCCGAGTTCCATGACAATTTAAATAATGAGTTACTTAACGCACAAAGGCAGAACATACCATACAAAAAACTCAGATCAGACAACAATGACCCTAAATGGATAAATAATTATTTAAAGAACATCATTGGCCAAAGGAAGGCTATAGGTAGAAGGATAAATCATGGCAAAATTTACCTCCAGGATTATTATAAGGTATTGGCGAGTAGGGTTAAAACCGAGATAAGGAAAGCCAAGAGGAATAATGAGGTAAGGATAGCAAGGGAGGCGAAGACAAACCCCAAAGGATTCTACCAAATGTATCAAACTAAAACAAGACAAAAGATTGGACCAATACGGTCAGATACCGGTGAGCTCACTGACAACGACGGAGAAATGAGCAATAATTTGAATAAATATTTTTCAACAGTTTTCACCACCAAAAATGTAAACATGATACCTGAGGCACCGACTCTATTCAGAGATAGTGAAGAAAACAAATTAAGCGAGATAGTAGTAACTAGTAGCGATGTTAGTAAGCAAATAGATAAACTAAAGCCTAATAAGTCACCTGGTCCCGATGAGATATTTGCCAGAGTATTAAAGGAATGTAAGGAAGAGCTTAGTATGCCCTTAGCAAAGTTGTTTAACATGTCCTTAAATACAGGTGTAGTACCAGAATTCTGGAGGATAGCGAATGTAATACTGATTTTCAAGAAGGGGGATAGATCACTATCCTCTAACTACCGCCCAATCAGCCTAACATCAATAGTAGGCAAATTACTTGAATCAATCATTTCAAACAAGTGGGCATTCATGTCTAACTAATCTATTAACATTCTTTTCATCAGTTTTCGAATCAGTGGACGAAGGGCACAATTATGATGTGATATATCTCGACTTTAGCAAAGCCTTCGACAGAGTCCCCCACGAAAGACTAATTAGAAAGGTAGAAGCACATGGCATCAAAGGTAATATCCTTAAATGGATTAGGGCGTGGTTACAGGACAGAAAACAGCGAGTGAGCATTAACGGCACTAAATTC